TTGGGTCCTGTGCTTTGGAATCCTAGATATTAAACCGCCTGGAGCTGTTGTATCATCCTCTTTGATAGGTCCCAGATACCCACACACAAATGTCGACTTTCAGGATGGCATCAACCATTGTAGTTGTGACAGGACAAGATTGTGTGACTCAACTTCAGTTTCAACAACCACACGTGGGAGTTGATGGGAAGAGGATGTATCAATGCTCACTTCAAAACTCTTGTGCCCCGCAGGATGTAAGAGATACAGCATATTTCATTAACTTCTCCCATACTGAAAACCACTTATAGCCCAAAGGATCATCCATCCCCCCTAACAGTCTCCTAAGTAACCAAGAAGATATGGTGCCTCCCTGAGAAACTCACGTGCTGGAGGCGGTTGATGTCATCAAAATTTTCCTATTCTGGGCCAGCTCCCAAAGCCTAGTGGTTAAGGGAGCTGAATCCCACATGGCTGAACGGAATCCCAGCTCCTGTGGCTTGAAAAACACTGGGTGTATGTGCACGGATGCCCCAAATCCCAAAAGGATAGAGAAATAGAAAAGATTGCAGTGTGACCGTGCCCCCATTGAGAGGTACTTTCTTCCTTTCTCTCTCTCTGTCTCTCTCTGGCAAGTACACACACCTTCTAGCAATTCATCTTTTTTGCTTTTTGTTTTTCATTTTCCTTTGGAAACGATGAAACCTTCAGACAAGAGAGGAAAGGGTTCAGAGAAGGGAGAATAGGAAGTGAATGGCAAATGTAGTTCCTGAAGAAAATTACCAAAAATCGCTTCAGGAGAGATCAGTAGCTCCCGTTCTTGTTCTCCTTCTGCGAGTTTGCTATGGAGAGCCCAACTCAACCCAAAGCATCATGGCTGCCAGAGTACCCTCAGGAGTAGCCCAGGGCCAGGTGAGCCCCTCTACCAACACCCTACATGCAAATAAAGAGAATTCTCTTCTTTCCTATTTGTAAATTGAAAATGACTGCCCACTGGAGGGTGCTATATTTACACATCATAAAATCTTTAATAATACCTATAATCATAAAAAGCTAGTAACTACACAAAGAATTTTTAAATATTAGGCGCAATGATCTCAACATAACACTAAAATCCTAAAGGTAGGCTACAAGACTATTTTTTTGAAATCTGATCTTAATTTTTTTTTTTAAATGCAAGTGAGAAGACTAGGAGAAAATATGACGAAATAGAATTAGTAGGTATGGGTTTTATGGGTAATTGAACATGAATTTTTTTTTTTTTTTAAGAGAGTTTTTTGCTATAGGGAACATGAGACAGAGGGACAGAAAACAAGAAATCACTCCCCAGGCCAGATGGCCACACCCATTCTCCTCTCGGGATTTTGGGCATGCAGACACACATGCCTGGTGTGGGTTTAAAGCCTCCAGGTCCAGGACTTGAACTGCAGTTGACTACGTGGTAGTCTAGCAATGTAACCATCACAACATCTGCTGGTCCCTACGTGAATTATTTTTAAATTCAAAATAAATAAAGCGTCTGGCTGATGGAACAGTGGTACAGTGCCACGCTCTACAAGGCTGACCACATGGAGATTTCCAGGTTTGCAACTGGAGACCTGCCTCGCTGCATCAGGCATGTATGTGCCCATACTATGGGGGCTGGCTGGGGTTGGGGTCAGCTGTGGTATCGGGATTCTGTTGGGGTGATTTCTCTCGTTCTGTCACTCTTGCTCATGGAAGAAATAAATGAATGAACTTCTTAAAATATTCAAAATAATAATAAAATGAGACAATATATACAAAGTATATAGTTAGCATTATGTTTTTGTCTTACACACACGTGCAGTATAAATACAATGAACAGTTATTTCTAAGTTAGAGTAGCAAGAGCTTATAGACACACAGTTCTCTCGAGTCTTTAAAAATTCTTTAAATTATTCATTACTATATCATTATTATGATATACAAGATACACCAGATGAACTATGACTATCATCTTTAGTATACAAATTATAAGGAAAAAATTCAAACAAGTAGGAATTGAGATGTAATAAAAAATAAATTACTGTTTAAGTAAGTTAAATTTTAATGAAACTGTAAGATCTAATGAGCAGAATTTAAAACACTGGTGGGACTTAGTCAACCACATTTTGAGTCATGGACCAAAACTCATGCTGGGTGTGTGTGTGCCCAAAGTCCTGAGAGGAGAGTGAAGGAGAAGGAGAAGGGATTGTGGCATGTCCATTCCCCCTAGGGAGTGATTTCTCACTTTCTTTCTCTCTGTCTCTCTGGCAAGTGCACACTCCCTATAGAAAAATAATCTCTCTTAAAAAAAAAATAAAAGTAAACACTGGTCTCCAAACTTCTTTGGGAGTTTATGAGACACACAAAATACAAAAAAAAAAAAAAAAAAAAAAAAAAAAAAAAAAAAAAAAAAAAAAGAAAAAAATGTGGTTAAGGGAGCTGAATCCCACATGGCTGAACGGAATCCCAGCTCCTGTGGCTTGAAAAACACTGGGTGTATGTGCACGGATGCCCCAAATCCCAAAAGGATAGAGAAATAGAAAAGATTGCAGTGTGACCGTGCCCCCATTGAGAGGTACTTTCTTCCTTTCTCTCTCTCTGTCTCTCTCTGGCAAGTACACACACCTTCTAGCAATTCATCTTTTTTGCTTTTTGTTTTTCATTTTCCTTTGGAAACGATGAAACCTTCAGACAAGAGAGGAAAGGGTTCAGAGAAGGGAGAATAGGAAGTGAATGGCAAATGTAGTTCCTGAAGAAAATTACCAAAAATCGCTTCAGGAGAGATCAGTAGCTCCCGTTCTTGTTCTCCTTCTGCGAGTTTGCTATGGAGAGCCCAACTCAACCCAAAGCATCATGGCTGCCAGAGTACCCTCAGGAGTAGCCCAGGGCCAGGGGAGCCCCTCTACCAACACCCTACATGCAAATAAAGAGAATTCTCTTCTTTCCTATTTGTAAATTGAAAATGACTGCCCACTGGAGGGTGCTATATTTACACATCATAAAATCTTTAATAATACCTATAATCATAAAAAGCTAGTAACTACACAAAGAATTTTTAAATATTAGGCGCAATGATCTCAACATAACACTAAAATCCTAAAGGTAGGCTACAAGACTATTTTTTTGAAATCTGATCTTAATTTTTTTTTTTAAATGCAAGTGAGAAGACTAGGAGAAAATATGACGAAATAGTAATAGTAGGTATGGGTTTTATGGGTAATTGAACATGAATTTTTTTTTTTTTTAAGAGAGATTTTTGCTATAGGGTACATGTGCTCGCTGGAGAGACAGAGGGACAGAAAACAAGAAATCACTCCCCAGGCCAGATGGCCACACCCATTCTCCTCTCGGGATTTTGGGCATGCAGACACACATGCCTGGTGTGGGTTTAAAGCCTCCAGGTCCAGGACTTGAACTGCAGTTGACTACGTGGTAGTCTAGCAATGTAACCATCACAACATCTGCTGGTCCCTACGTGAATTATTTTTAAATTCAAAATAAATAAAGCGTCTGGCTGATGGAACAGTGGTACAGTGCCACGCTCTACAAGGCTGACCACATGGAGATTTCCAGGTTTGCAACTGGAGACCTGCCTCGCTGCATCAGGCATGTATGTGCCCATACTATGGGGGCTGGCTGGGGTTGGGGTCAGCTGTGGTATCGGGATTCTGTTGGGGTGATTTCTCTCGTTCTGTCACTCTTGCTCATGGAAGAAATAAATGAATGAACTTCTTAAAATATTCAAAATAATAATAAAATGAGACAATATATACAAAGTATATAGTTAGCATTATGTTTTTGTCTTACACACACGTGCAGTATAAATACAATGAACAGTTATTTCTAAGTTAGAGTAGCAAGAGCTTATAGACACACAGTTCTCTCGAGTCTTTAAAAATTCTTTAAATTATTCATTACTATATCATTATTATGATATACAAGATACACCAGATGAACTATGACTATCATCTTTAGTATACAAATTATAAGGAAAAAATTCAAACAAGTAGGAATTGAGATGTAATAAAAAATAAATTACTGTTTAAGTAAGTTAAATTTTAATGAAACTGTAAGATCTAATGAGCAGAATTTAAAACACTGGTGGGACTTAGTCAACCACATTTTGAGTCATGGACCAAAACTCATGCTGGGTGTGTGTGTGCCCAAAGTCCTGAGAGGAGAGTGAAGGAGAAGGAGAAGGGATTGTGGCATGTCCATTCCCCCTAGGGAGTGATTTCTCACTTTCTTTCTCTCTGTCTCTCTGGCAAGTGCACACTCCCTATAGAAAAATAATCTCTCTTAAAAAAAAAATAAAAGTAAACACTGGTCTCCAAACTTCTTTGGGAGTTTATGAGACACACAAAATACAAAAAAAAAAAAAAAAAAAAAAAAAAAACGAGAAAAGT